GGGGGAGGAGACAGACACTGCCACCACTGGCGAGATGCTCCCAGAACACAATGGGGCTGAGAGGAAGGCTTGCAAGACTGGGCACCGGTTCCCCTCTGATCTGGAAGGGGCTACCAGAGTGGGGCATGCTGGGTCGTAGTGGGTGGGGCGGTCACGGGAGTGGGGCAGTCCAGCCCCGGAAGGGTAAGTGATCCCACCCACCACCCCGGTCCTTGGGCACTCACCAAAAGCCCTTTCCCTCTCTCTCCTGCGCAGGTGCTGCTGCCCACTCTCCGTGGCGCCACAAGGGCAGGAGGACCCGGGCCAGGTCGCCGGTGAGGACCACCGGCCGCAGACGCCGCCCGGACAGCCGCGAGGCCCATCCCGCCTCCCCGAAGCGCCGCCGCGGTCACCTGGAGCTGGAGGCGCGCGATCCCCTGGCGGCGGTGACCACCAGGCTCTGGCACCGGGTGGGCGCGCTGGAGGTGGCGCTGGACGAGCTGCGGGCTCCGGGGGGAGCCTTCCTGCCTGGGCCCTCCCACCGCACGCAACCCTCGGCCTCGCAGCGCGCCTGGCTCGCCTGGCAGCTGGCGCACGCGGGTGCGACCCTGCACTGGGCGGCCGCCCGGCTCCACGCCCTGCTGGCCGCGCAGCCCGAGCCCTAGTTAGGGGCGGCCGGCGCGCTCGCCTCCCCTCCGGCCGGCTCTGCCGAGAGCCGGTCGGATGGGCGTGTCCCACGCCAGGGCAGGCGTCCCTGTTCGCCCGGTGCGCACCGCCGCCACCAGCTCGCCACCAGCCTGGCCCAGACCCGCCGGTGCGCGGAACGGGTTTCTGTTGGGCCCCAGCTCAGGGACACCGGCCAGGTGTCCGGAAGACACCCCGCGAGGGTGAGCCGTCAGAGCGAAACCCTTCTGTGCCTCTGGTGGCCTCAGATCGCTGGAGGGACGGGATTTGTGCTTTGTGGTCCGTCGGTGTTTCCCTGTTTTAGCAGAAAAATAAAACACACTTGTCCTTTTTGGGGGGAGGGGGGCTGCTGGAGACCGGGTTTCTTCCCGACGAAGCTTGAGAAGCTTAAACCTCCAGCAAGGCTTCTCCTGTGACAGAGGAGCCACGAGCCATGGAATGTGTGAGGCGCTCCGCAGGGTGTCTGATGCCCAAGTGAAACCACGTGTTTCCTTCCTCGCAGAGTGCCTCCTTTACACGGGTTTCATTAAATGTATTCCTACCTCGAACCTTGGCTGCTGCGACTGTGTATCCTGATGGTCTCTTGAATCGTTCATTCATCTTTGGTTCTATTTCGGGGCTGCACTGTACCAACATTAAGGAGATTTTATCGGCAATCCTAGAGCGCCTGGTGGTGTCAGCACACACATCACAAAACCGTCCACAGATGTATCACACACATATGACCAGCGCTCCACTCAAGACGTAGGGTACTCCTAGCTGGCCACTTTGCGATCCTTATACCACCCAATTCCTTCGGAGGTAGGAGCTTTACAGGCCCCATGCTTCATTTACCTGCGTAGTCATAAGGTTTCCTACCTGCGTGGCACACCACTCCCTGGCTCTTCCTCCATCTCCCACTCGGAGTTAAAGAGAGGGATGTACCTGGGTGATGTGGGATGGGCTACAGGGCAAGAGCCCTGCGATGAGAACTTTGAGAGTCGAGGTCCTTGCCACAGAAAATGCGGAGGCATTGCCTGCAAGGGAAACCTGTCCCTTGGAGAGGAAGGAGAAGGGTGAGGACTCTAGAAAGGATGGAGGAGCAGAGGCCCCTGAAGTCCCAGGGGGGCTCTCAGTGGAGATCAGGAAGCTTCCATGTTCTTCTGGCTGAGGGTGAGGGTGAGGGCTGGGAGGTGCTCTGGCCTTGGCTCATGCAATTCCTTGGACCTGAAACGCTGTCTAAGTCCACCCTTGTTCATCTTTCTGCTATTGGGGAAAGTTTCAAAATTGCTGAGAGTAGATCACGATCTCTCCTGGCACTGTGCGTATTTCCTGGAAGCACTTTGCATCGTTATAATTGTCCATTTCCCACGTGTGCTTATTTGAAGAATAGCGGTGTCCTCCCCTGGATCCACAGGTCCCTGAAGGTAGGGGCTGTGTGTCAGTTTTTCTCGTTAATGCATCCACAATGCCTGCCATGGTTCCTGGGATACGGTAGATGTGCAGGAAGTACTTCGGGAGTTTTGCAGTAGTGAGTAAGTGCTCTTTCCCTTTACAAGAATGGTGTGTACACGATCAGGCTTTTTCTCCTTATCCCTCCATCTTTCTTACTATCCCGGCTGCCTTGAGTCCTTGCTGGGGCATCATGCTTGAGGATTTCCCGGCTGCGGGCTGCAGTGACCAATTCGGAGAGGAAACTCCAAATTCTGCCTTAGTGTGGCCAAGCCCCTGGGCGTCGGGCACCGTGAGGCACGGTGCAGTGAGGAACTGAGCACGCTTTCTGCCGGCTCGCAGCTCACCCCACAGGACCCTCCACCAACACCCCCCCCGACCCCCCTCCGCGGGCTACCTGCCTGCGCGTCGGCTGGGAGCGCGGACCCCCGCTGTACGGCGGAGCCTCGGTCAAGATGGCCGCGCCCGGCCGCGATACCCAGGGGCGCCGCCATGGCAGCCGCGGGACCCGCTGAAGCCGCCCTTCCAGCCGCCGCCATGTCGGCCTCCGCCTGCGAGTGGATCCTCACAAAGCGGGAGAGCGTGGGCCGGAGGAGGAGTGCAGGGAAAGCCGAAGAGGCCGGGTGTCCTGCGGAGATGGCTGTGTCCGAGCCGGCGGGCAGCGCCGCGGTGAGCGCGATGGCGGGGCGGGACGGCCTGGTGGTCGGAGGTGGTCTCATGGGGGGTCGGTGATTGGAGGGTGACTGTAGTCTCTGAGAGGAGCGATTTGGGAATTGGAGGCGATTCTGGAGGGCCTTCTGGCGTTGGAGGGGTCGTCTGCGCTCTGGGGGGATCTGTGGGGCAGTGATGGGGGCCCTGCGGGGTCCGCGGGTTCTACAGGTTATGGTAATCCGTGTTTGGGGAGATCTGCGGTGACAGGGATGCGGGGAGTCTGCGGCACTCACGGAAAGGCCAGAGTCTGGAAGGCTCTGGGGATCGGAAATAGGGGCTTTGTGGTGTGTCAGAGACTGGGGAGGTGTGTGGCAGCTTGTGGTCTGTGGGAACCGAGCGACTCTGGTGCCTGTGGTAGTTAGAGACTGGATCGTCCCTGTGTGTGTGCAGAGGTGCAGGGAGGTCCATTAGGAGCTTATCACAATAGTTAAGAGATGATGATGGTTTAGGATAGGAAAATGCAGGGAAATGAAAAACCAGATCCAGAATACATCTGGAGATGAGCCAGTAAGACTTACTGACGAGTTGATATGAGACTTGAGAAGAATCAAGGCTTACATCTTGACTTTTGGCTTGAGGCACTGGATAAAGGGGTTTCCCTTTTCTGGAAAAGGGTTGTGTTGGAGACAACCAGATTTGGTGGATATAAATGGGAGCCAGAGTTGGATGACCGTGGTTCTGTTTTGGCCAAGTCAAGATGCCCATTACATGTCCAAGCAGAGAATGAGTAGTTGTTAAATGTATGAACTTAACATAGTTAAGTTCTCTAGTTCTCCTAGAACTTAGGAGAGGTTTGGGCTAGAGAATCCATATGTGAAAGGCTTCAGCATAGAGATGGTATTTAAAGCCACGAGATTGGATGAGATCACTGAGGAAGGGAAGGCAGCTAGAGAAGAAAAGTGGGACCAAGGACAGATCTCAGACATTTAGAGGTTTGGTAGAGGAGGGGGCGAGAGGGGAAGGAGAATGAGGAGTCGTAGCCACTGAGATAGGATGAAAAATGTAAATGTGGTGTCAAAGAAGTATAAAGAAGAAAACTTTTCAAGACAATGGGAGTTGTGTTGTCACCATTGTGTCATATGCTCTTGTGAGTCCCAGACACGTGACTGCAAAGATTTGAGTTTGGTGAGTTGTAGCTCAATGGTTATTTTGATTGATTAGAGCTTTTTCAGTGGAGTGATAGGGATAAAATCCTGGTGGAATAAGTTGAAAGAATGGAGGTAATGAAGTAGAGACAGCAGGTATAGACCACACCAGGAATTTTGCTGGTAAAGGGAGCAAACACACTGACATTACATGGGACATAAGATTAAGAAATGGTTTTCACTAGATGAATTGATATTAAAGCAACTTTGTATGTCAGTAGGAATGATTGAGTAGAAAGGGAAAAATAGGTGGTAAAAAAGAGAAAAGAGGTTAATTGCAGAGGGTGAATTCTTGAGAAGGCTGTTGGGGTTGGGATCTAGAGTATAAGTGGAGAAACTCTCTTTAGGCAAGAGAAGGGACACTTCCTCCATTTTAATAGAAAAGAGACAATGATAGGGGTTTTGGAAACAGATTGATGGAATTGGCGGTAACGAGGCAAGGTAGTGCTTGTCCATTTACACTTTCTCTTTGAAAGTATATTTGAAAGTGAATTTGTCAGCTGAGAATGGGAAAGTAGCAGATGCTGGAGATTTCAGAGAGAAAGAGGAGAACGTTTGGAATAACCATCTTGGAAAGAGGAACAGGAAACTCTCAGTATTGGATACCCATTTGCGATACGTGTTATAAACCTAAAGTGCGTCCAGGCAACTCAGTTGTTTGATTTTTTTCTCTTGGAATGTTCATCTGCAAGGTTGCAGGCAGAGATTAAGAGGAGAGTTGAGTTTGAGTAAGTTTGAGGCTTTGGTAGGTAAGTACAGTGGAGAAGAAAATGGGCAAGGAAGTTAAAGCTGTTTTCCATGGAGTGCGTATGGTGTTAGAACAAAGAATCTAGGCAAAAGAGAAGAAAAGTAAGGCCATGTGATGATGGAAGATTGTGGAAAAGTGGTTAGGATCAATGGCTTATGGGGGTCTGAATGCTTTTGGAGAATTATTGGCATGGAAGTAGTAGAGGAAGTAGGCTGGCAGTATAGGAAACAATAGTTGGGGATAGAATGTTTTCAGTAAAGCGGTGCTGCCATGGTATGTGGCAAGGTTTAAGGAATGGATGGCTGATGAGCAGGTGGCTGAGTCTGAGTGTGAGAAAAGATTTTTGAAGTCAGGAGAGAGAAAGGCCAGGCTGTGGAATGGCTCCTCTACATTGATGTAGCGAGAGTGCCGGAGCTGGAATGAAGAGGAACATGGTAGTCAAGTTTTCAGTGAACAAGGAAGAATGACTGTGCACAAAAGTTGACCTAAGTGGCCCCAAAGGGCATCCTTAGAAAAGCTTGCTTGCAAGGTTGACCTTTGGCTGATGTCTGAGAACTTAGACTTCAGAAGGCATCCCATCATTTCCGGAAATGATAAAAGTGTCTCACTGTGCCTAAACTAGGTCAACAATGTGGTTTATGCCGAGCTCCTGATTTCCTTCTGGAAATCTAAGATCTTTGTGTGTGCCAGGCAGGGGGTGCCTGTGAGTGCCACTGAGTCTCCGCTGTCTTTCCTTGGGAAACATTTCACGCATGTTCTCACAACTTACGTCTGGAGGAATCAAGTATATCCTGTGTGACTCAGATACTTGTGTCTGGTTTCTGTTGACTTTACCCCACCCACCATTTCCTTAGCCGTTTTTTTTTTTTTTTTCTTTAAAGATTTTATTTATTCATTTGTCAGAGAGAGAGAGAGCATACAAGCAGGCAGAGGCGGAGAGAGAAGCAGGCTCCCCACCAAGCAAGGAGCCCGATGCGGGACTCGATCCCAGGATGCTGGGATCATGACCTGAGCTGAAGGCAGCAGCTTAACCCACTGAGCCACCCAGGCATCCCTCCTTAGGTGGTTTTGCTGTGTGTTCCTTTGCTGTACTAAATCATAGCTACGGGTACAACTATATGCTGAGTCCTGTGGGTTTGCCTAGTGAATCATTGAACCAGAGGATTAATGGTTTAAAATCTCGTGAATTCTTTTTTTTTTTTTTAAGATTTTATTTATTTATTTGACAGACAGAGATCACAAGTAGGCAGAGCAGGAGGCAGAGAGAGGAGGAAGCAGGCTCCCCACTGAGCAGAGAGCCCAATGCGGGGCTCGATCCCAGGATCCTGGGATCATAACCCGAGCCGAAGGCAGAGGCTTTAACCTACTGAGCCACCTAGGCACCCCATAAAATCTCGTGATATTCTAAACATGATAGGGATTTTGAAAGATGTATGAAAAATGGTTGAAAGTCATCATTTACCTCATCTTCAAGCCCTGAGGTACAGGAGTCATGGTTGGGCCGCCACAACCAACCTCGGCTAGGGAACCTTGTAAGGGAGCAGTGTTCTCAGGAGACGGGTAGATTTCAGGTAAAGCGAGCAGGTGAAGACAATGGCCAAAGAGGTTGAAGGCATAGTCCAGTGATTAGGGTTTCTGTAAAGGCCACTGTTGGTGGAGTTCTGTTGGTGTCAGTGATCGGGGATTGGTAGGATAGGGGTTTGGGGTCATATCAGAGATACTGTGTTCCATGGGTATCAGTATCTGAAGGACCCCTGGGAATAGTGATTGGAATGTTTGGGGAGTGATTGGGGGAAATCTGTTGCTGTCAGTGATCGGCAAGTTTGTTGGGATCGGTCATTTGGAATTAACGCCAGTGATTGGGAGGCCGGTGGCAATCAATAAGGGAGCTTATTAGAAATCAATGACTGGAGGTCTGTAGAGGTTACAGATTGTTGACATATGGCAGCTAATTGATTGGTGGCTTATGGAGGTGGGGGTCATTTTTCAAAGTGAGATTAATATGTTTGAATGTGTATTTCTTGGTGGCAAAATTCTCCAGTAGCTGTGTCATCCTCCTCTCACCTGCCTAATAAGAAGAGAATCTTTAGGGCGCTTGGGTGGCTCAGTGGGTTAAGCCTCTGCCTTCGGCCCGGGTCGTGATCCCAGGGTCCTGGGATCAGGTCCCGCATCGGGCCCTCTGCTTGGCAGGGAGCCTGCTTCCTCCTCTCTCTCTTTCTCTGCCTACTTGTGATCTCTCTCTGTCAAATAAGTAAATAAAAATCTTAAAAAAAAAAAAAGAAGAGAATCTTTAACATGCTTTAATTTCTCCCTCATCCCCCACCCCTACCAGTTGTAGTCCTGCTTATTTTTCTTACATCACACCTCTTGATTTTAAGGATACTTTTGTAACAGTTGTACAAGAACATTATCAAGTTACTTGGATATAACTAGATATTTGACAGGTTTTATTATTCATAGTTCTTTCTTGTATATTTCATCTTTCCCAATCTTGAAATCTTTATTCTGATGCACTTTTCCTTTAAAAAAAAATCATTGCTTTTCTCCTCCTCCTCCTCTTCTGTGTCCCTTTCCTTCTCTTTATTTCTTTTTTTTCCCCTTCTCTTTATTTATAAAGCACAAAGGCGATAGACTTTCTGCATCCTTACATGCCTAAAATATGTTATTTTTGGTTCCAAACATGAATGATCTTTTGGCTGGTTATAAAAATCAAGGGTCTTGATTCTACCTCAGAACTCTAGTCCGTTGTCTTTGGTTATAGAAGAAAAGATAAAGACTAATTCTTTTGTTTTTGGTAATTTTCTTTCTCTCTGATAATTGTATAATTTTTTTATCCTCTTGAATAAACAAATTTGCCAATGGGACTGTCATTTGGGGGCCGCTACAACAAAGTACTATTGACTGGGTAGCTTATAAACAGCAGAAAATTATTTCTGACAATTCTGAAGGCTCGAAGTCCCAGGATCAGGGTGCCAACATGGTTGGGATCTGGTGAGACCTTCTGCCAGGCTGCAGACTTTTTGTTGTATCCTCACTTGGCAGAGAAGAAGCAAGCTGTCTTATGACTCTTAAAGGGCATTAATCCCATTCACGGAGACTCCACCTGCATGCACTCATCTAATTCTAATTACTTCCCACAGGCCCTATCTCCTAATGCCATCACATTGGAGGGTAGGGTTTCAACAAATGAATTTTGGGGATACACAGATATTCAGTCCTTAACAGGGACATTTCTTAATATGATCTTTGTTTCTCAAAAAAAAAAATGCAGATGTGGGTGAAGAATTAGTATCCTATATAATATCATGATCAACACTGAATGGTTGAGGTAAGAGCAAATCATTATTATCTCGTGCAAATCACCCATTAATGTGGATAACATTAGACTGAATAGGAATATTGCTATTACAGGGATCGGTAACATTCAAAGATGTGACTATGGCCTTTACCCAGAAGGAATGGGAGCGACTAGATCCTGCTCAGAGGGACCTGTATAAGGATGTGATGCTGGAGAACTATAGCAACCTTGCCTCAATGGGTAAGGACAATTCTTTCATAATTCAAAATGTGTCCACTGTAATACCTTCTCTCTAAAGTTCTTGATAAGTTTGGCCTTGGCTATGAATTGAAGAGTTTTAATCTCTTGGGGTATGAGGCAGGATATTTGTGGAAGGTCTACTTAGATGGGGTACATGAGCAATCATATTGTGAAATTTCAGAAGCCATATATTCTCTCTCTCTCTCCCTCCCTTCCTTCCTTCCCTCTCTCTTCCTCTTTCCCTCCCTTTCTTCCCTTCCTTCCCTCCCATCCCTCCCTTCCCTCTCTTTCCTCTCTTCTCTCGCCTCTCCTCTTAGAAGCCATATATATATATTCTTTATCCTCTTAGGGTTCTGAAGTCCAAATATTAGGGCTTGATTTCTAAGATGTTTGTTTTCCTAACACTCAGTTTTTGCCATTTCTTGTGAGCAGGGTTTCAAGCTCCCAAACCAGACATGATCTCCAAGTTGGAAAAAGGAGAAGAGCCGTGGTTGGGGAAGGGCAAAAGACCCAGACAAGGTGGTCCCAGTGAAATAGGAAGACCCAAGCAAACAGGAACCAATGGAAGTAAGTTTCTAGTTTTTTGGTGATCCTTTGGAATTCTTCAATGAATAATTTATTTTTAAAATCTTCAAGATCCCATACCCTTTTTTCTTAACCAGGAGTAGCAGTTGAAAAATATGAGAATTTCTTGGGGAGGAAGAGTTCAAACTACAAAGGTTCTTTAACCTTAGAGATTCTAATCTCTCTTCCATCTACGAACCTCTTCATGTGTGAGGCTGAGGTTCATTTTAGTTGTAAGCCAGTGCTACTCATGGGAGTTAGCTTATACTGCTTGTATCGGTTAGCTTAGGCTAAGTTATGCTCCATTAAGGAATGACCCCTAAATCTTAGTGGCTTCCAACAAGAAAGATTTGTTTCTTGTTCACTCTGTAGCCTTATCCCACATAATCCTTTGGCCCTATACTGAAAGAGCGGTCCCTATTTGGCAAATTCTGGTCTCATGGCAAAAGGAAAGAAGAATGAGTAGAACCACTCTTTACATTGCTGATTGGAAGTGGTCGATAATCCCTTTCTGTTCCCATTTCATTGGTTAATTGGTTAGAGCAGATCACCTGGCTTCTGTTAAGTTCAGCAGGGTAGGAATGTATAATCCTTCCAGAGGGAGGACTCAAGGGACAATGGGTCTGGGAGGTACAGTCTTTCCACAGGGAACAGTAATACAGTCTGCCACACCATTTGTATTGTGGTAGGATAAAAGGGGAAAACCAGAGCTCTGAACCTCTGGTACCAGCCCCTGAGATGCCTAACTGACCCTTCCTTATTAATTGTCTTTCCTCATCCATGCTGTCCATCACTCAGCTTCCAGAAGAAGCAGTTCTCAGAATCCCATTACTGCTTACCTTATTTAAAGCAGTGCTATTTTTTATTTTATTCTTTTCCCCCAATATCCTTAGTGTTTTCCCTTCATCACTCAAACTCCGGGACTCCATGGTATCACATTTCTCTCCTTATGTGTTCAAACCTTCTTAGATCCATCCTCTTACCAAATCTCTTGGCATGATTCTCTCCTGCCTTTAATTACTTTCCATGTCCCTCCTTTTCACTGTGAAATGCTCTAACCCCATAGTGCATCATTATTTCCATTTACTCATTAACCTGTGCAGTCAAATCCCACAGAATTCATGCCTATATGTGAATTTCCGGCTTTATAGTAACCACTGCTTACCTTTCAGTGCATATTTTGGTAGTTTCAGTCAGCATGAAATTCTTGCCTACCTGGCTTGAATTCTACCGCTTGAATCTGGCCTTCTCTTCTAAGTGCTTCTTTACATTTATTTCACCAGATTCTCTTCCTTCTCACTTTGCTGAAGTGTTCCTAAGGTTTTGTCTTCTACTCTGTCTTCCCTTTTTTTTTTTTTCCTATTGTATTTCCCTCAAAAGAATCAAGATGTTTATTGTACCCTGGTGAGTTTTAAGGTAAATTGATCTTCTCCAGATAAACCTCCAGTTTCTTCATGTTGCACTCATATTTTACCTGCTTACAGGAAAGCCCAGTCTCACAGTATCAGAAATGGAAAGCTTTGTCCTTCTGTCTTTCTTTGTAATTAGAGCTTCCTTTCACCTTCCCTATTTTTATCAGAGTCTGCTTTGATTTGAGGCCTGTCTACCTCAGAATTCCTGTGAATCTCTGCCTTCTCTTTTATTGTCCTCTCCTCAGTTCCTGCGTTGTGTTTACTTCAGTTCTCAGACATCACTCAAATCAGGTATATATTATCTCATACCTAAATTGCTCCAATTCTTAAGCTGATTTGTCGGATCCATTTTTTTTAAACAATTCATCTTTGATGTTACCACCAGATATTAAAATATTCAATTATTATTTATATCACAATAGTTCCCCAAAAGCAGAATGTTTATAATATATATTTAAGTGTCCAAGCGTCCTCTGAATTTTCTGGGACTCTATGAGTTTCCTGAAACCAAAGGGACTAGTCCTTCAAATGACAAATGAAGAGACCTCATGGAGTTTTGATTCATCCATTAGTGGCTCCGATTTTGGCTATGTTCACTTTTCTCTCCGATACTCGGTGTTACAACTAAAAAATAGTCCTGGTAGTCATCTATTACAACTTTGTCATTGCTGCAGTAGCTTTCTTCTTGGCTCAGGTCCTCAGATAGTACTTGAAATTTCTTCAAGGAAAGGCTATTCTATTCCGTCCAATGATTTTCTGAGTCTAGTGAGCAATACACTTCAGTTTCTGAAGTTACAGTCATTTTAGCTTAAAATTCACATTTTAGTTGTTGTTTCAGATTCAGGAAAAGCTTACAGCCTTAAACCCATGCTCCGTCACACCCAACTCTCCTAGTATTACGTTATGATTATACCATTTCAGTAGTTCAATTTCCTTCCCACCCCCCACGGTAAATGTCTCTCACAGCGCTTTATATATTTTCATGTTGGCCAATCTCCATGATTATAAGGGGTTCTTATAATGTTGCACATCAAGGGGAAAGGTTTGAGTTTTGGTCCCTTTCTTCCTAGAAAGAGATTTGCCTCTATTCTTTCCAGCATCCTTGGGCATTGGAAGATGCCGCCTTTGTCATGCTCTTGTATATTCTTCTCCCCAAAATGCTTGCATCACTTAAAATTTCCTAAATGGAAAAGCAGCTGGCAACTCTACTTCTTCCTACTCTATCTATACTACTATATCTACACTTACAAAAATTGATCTTTTACTCCATGGGAACTAATCTCTTAAGAGTCCTTGATGAAAGGAATAGTATTTCCTGGCTATGTTGAAATACCATAACTCTTTTCTGTTTGATCCCAGTTTTCACTTTCATGTAATGTTCCTTTATGACCGAGGCAGCTATTCAATTTCTCTCTCTCTCTTTCTTGGAGACTCATATCGGCTTTTCTCGTTGCATCTGTTTAATTCCCACCCTAAAGATTTTTCTGCTTTTCCATACATATAACTGAAAAAAGTCACCTCAAAATGGTAGTCTCAACTCTTTAAGTTTTTAGATTTTTACACATGTAGTATCCATACCTAGCTAAAAGAAGTCTTTGAATTTCAGTTCTAAATTCTTAGGAGAGAGAATATTATTGGTCTAGGTAGGGCTCTTTGTTTACCACCAACCGGTCAATTGTTTTCAACCAGGGATTGGATCATATGGTTCACACGTGGTTGCTGCCATATGTCAGTGTGGGTGTGGTGGTCTCAGAGAAGGAATACACACACTGGGAAGATATCTTAAAATATGTAATTTTTTTAATGTATGGAGGGAAGGATGTGAGCAATCATTTAAAGCTGGGAATCAGTTTAAAATTGATAATTAGTGGGGTGTCTGGGTGGCCCAGTGGGTTAAGCCTCTGCCTTCAGCTCAGGTCATGATTTCAGGGTCCTGGGATTGAGGCCCACATCAAGCTGTCTGCTCAGCGGGGAACCTGCTTCTCCCTCTCTCTCTGCCTGCTTCTCTGCCTACTTGTGAGCTCTCTCTCTCTGTCAAATAAATAAAAATTATTTTTAAAAATTGATAATTGATAATTAGTAGAGTGAGCTGGCAGAAACAAAGGTATGCTCCATACTTCCATAAGAGGAGGAAGACTCTTAGTGGACACCATGGTTTGAGCCAGGTGTGTCTCCAACTGTGACCATGGAGAGTTGAATTAATATAGTACAGGCTGTGGGAGCCAAATACTATGGATGGACTGGCTGTTATCAAAGCTGGGATGCTTGGGCTGAGGAGAAACCTCAAAAAATATTGACTACAATCACAAGCTCTTTTAACTTCATCTGTTACCTAGTCACTGTTCCTTGTGTTTATTCCACCCCCTGTCCCATGCTGCAAGGTCATATTTATGAACAGGCAAAGTTTTATCTAATTACTATTGTCAATTAACTTTTCTTGTTTTTCCTACAACACTTTCCCCTCAAGTCCAAGAAGTTAGGGCCATTTGCACTTGGTATTTCACTCACTTTGGGATACTAGGCCTGAGTAAAGATGCAGCCCCACAGTAGGGCTTTTCTTTTATAAGTTATATTCCAGTATATGAGAGGACAAAGATTCACAAGATGTCTTATTGAATTCCATTTTAGATGAAGTCCAGCAAGGTAATGACCAGCTAGAGAACCACCAGGAATCTCAAAACAAACTCTGTAAGGAAGTTTCATTCAAGAGAAAAGGTCTGACTAAGAAGAAAGGCCGTGAATGTAGTTCACTGGGGGAAAAAAGTGTGAGTACAAAACATGTTTCTTCAAAAAAAAGGCTTAAATATGATTCACATGGAAAGAGTTTGAAACAGAATTTAGATTTACCTGGTCATATAAGAAACTATGCAAAAAAGAAACCTAATGTAGCTAAAGAGCACAAGAAATCATTCAGCCATAGCTTACCTGATACAAAGAAAGACAAAAATCAAGCTGGAAAGAAACAAAAATTATCCAACCATAGCTTATCTAATAAGCATGACAAAACTCAAACTGGCAAGAAACATGAGAAATTAGCTCATCATAGCTTATCCGATACTAAACGGGACAAAATTCAAACTGGAGAGAAACATGAGAAATCATCCAGCCATAGCTCATCTCCTACTAAGTGTGACAAAACTCAAGCTAAAGCAAAACCCTACAAATGTAATCAATGTGGGAAGGTTCTCAGCCATAAACAAGGACTCATTGACCATCAGAGAATTCATACTGGAGAGAAACCATATGAATGTAATGAATGTGGGATAGCCTTTAGCCAAAAGTCACACCTCGTTGTACATCAAAGAACTCACACTGGAGAAAAACCATATGAATGTATTCAGTGTGGCAAAGCCCACAGTCATAAACATGCCCTCACTGACCATTTGAGAGTTCATACCGGGGAAAAACCCTATAAATGTACTGAATGTGGGAAAACCTTTAGACACAGCTCAAACCTTATTCAACATGTGAGATCTCATACAGGTGAGAAGCCCTATGAATGTAAGGAATGTGGAAAATCCTTTAGGTATAACTCATCTCTTACTGAGCATGTGAGAACTCATACGGGTGAAATACCATATGAATGTAATGAATGTGGAAAGGCTTTTAAGTACAGCTCATCTCTTACTAAACATATGAGAATTCATACGGGTGAGAAACCCTTTGAATGTAATGAATGTGGGAAAGCTTTCAGCAAGAAGTCACACCTCATTATACATCAAAGAACTCATACTAAGGAGAAGCCCTATAAATGTAATGAATGTGGAAAAGCATTTGGACATAGCTCTTCTCTTACTTACCACATGAGAACTCATACAGGTGAAAGTCCTTTTGAATGTAGTCAATGTGGGAAGGCCTTCAAACAGATTGAAGGCCTTACTCAACATCAGAGAGTTCATACTGGGGAGAAACCCTTTGAATGTAATGAATGTGGGAAAGCTTTTAGCCAAAAGTCTCACCTCATTGTACATCAGAGAACTCATACTGGGGAGAAACCTTTTGAATGTAATGAATGTGGAAAGGCTTTCAATGTGAAGTCACAGCTTGTTCTACATCAGAGATCCCACACTGGAGAGAAACCCTATGAATGTAATGAATGTGGAAAAGCTTTCAAACAAAATGCATCCCTTACCAAACATGTGAAAACTCATTCCGAAGAAAAATCTCATGAGTGAAATAAATGTGGGAAATCAAACGAAATGCATCCCTTACCAAACATGTGAAAACTCATTCCGAAGAAAAATCTCATGAGTGAAATAAATGTGGGAAATCAAACGAAATGCATCCCTTACCAAACATGTGAAAACTCATTCAGAAGAAAATCTCATGAGTAAAATAAATGTGGGAAATCTTTTAATTCAAACTAAAGGTTTTATTTAACCTTAGTAGGATTCTGAATTTTAAGGATGTTAGAAAGCCTTTAATAAGAAGTCACACCTAATTACACATGAGAGAATTTGAAAGTGACTCTTATGTAGAAGCAATGGATGATACCAACCTTTTATAAAAAACATTGTTTTAAAAATAATCATGAATTATTTATATATTCAGACCCAAATATAAAGCTTTAAAAATCATTAATTAGCTGAATAATCAGAGCAATAGAGAATTTGCATATCTGTTAATTTCCATGTATAAGTATGTCTGGCCACTGGTATGAGCCTCATCTTTGATATTATCACCTAACCCTTTTTTAATGTCTTGTTAGCTTCTACATCAGCTGGAAACTTTCTAAAAGTTATTTATGTAAAAAATAGTAACACAAATTAAGAAAAAAATAAAAGAAAGTGGCTGAGGATAGGGACATCATTCTCTACCAACACCAGTGTATTGTTAAGTGAAAAAAGCAGGTTGCTGAACTGTGTGTATAGTATGTTCCCACTTATGTACAAAAGGGGTGTTTACCTCTCCCTCTCTGTCTATGTATGTTTGTACATATGTATGTATACATATATTTGTATGTGAATAGACTTGGTTTGAAAAAATATAGAAGAAGCTTTATAGTGGTTGTCATGAACAAAAGAGTACAGGAGTGGGGACTAGGATGGGAGGGAGACCTCCTTTTTATTATATGCTGTTGGAATTTTTAAATAATGTACATGGGTTATTTTCACAATTAAAATCTTTTTAATATGCATACATCAACACTGATTAATATTTTCACTGAGCTGAGTCCGTGGTGGTGTTTGTTGAAGTGTCTATGCCTGTTATCAAGGGTGATGGATCTGAGGATATGCTACTAAACTTGATATTGAATTCACAAAGACTTTTCCTATCCAACACTCATCTTTTTATTAAAATAATGAATTGCAATTATAATTTGGCACTGTGTTTCTTCTATATGCCATATTTTCTAAAAGATATGTTGTGATTGCAGGTGAATGAAAGTGATTTTCTGAACAGTCACTCCTTTTTATCACATATTCAGAGTACTTATATATAAACCCCTCAATCTGGGATTTCAAATGTGTTGCAACAAATGCCACTGCGTCCTGCTCTTGTTCAATGGCAGACATTGTTAATGGATCACTGTACTTTTTCTGAGTGAACCTAGACTTGGCCTCAGAGTCACTCCTAAGCATCTATTCCAAAAGGCACTTTGAATCAATTTGGGTTTCCAGATGAGAACTATTTTCTACTGCATACCTATTTACTATTATTTCTTTTTACCTCATAAGTCAGGGATAAAAAAAATACAACTGAATTGTTTTTGAATTGTTACACTAAAAACAGTGACATAAGGACAAAAAATTGGTTTTGTTATGTAAGGTAATAATATTTGGCATGCATGTCTCCTTTTACATTTTCACAGTACATTCACTACATTACCACATTTGTTCATCAGAATAAACATATGGGTCAATAAGCAAGCCTTTTCTAGTGATCAATTCTGCTCAATAAATATTTTACCTGGATACTAGTCTAGCATAATGATGGACCCTCAACAAATATGTGATCAAGTGCCATTTTTCCAAATACTTCCCATATCAAGTTCCTGTCTTCCCGATTTCCTCATGTCAGAGAATTAACAGATGTAAGTATTGAGAATGAAATTGTGTGTGTGTACATTCATGTGTGCTGAGCAGAGAGCCTGACATGGGGCTCAATCCCAGGACCCTGGGACCATGACCCGAGCTGAAGGCAGAGGCTTTAACCCACTGAGCCACCCAGGCGCCCCCAAATCTGCACTTTTTAGAAGAATAAAACAGTTACATGTTATGGCCATGTTAAATTTCCCACACTTCTTGGAGAATCCATAATAGTACCCCATACCTGGGAAAGTATGCCTGAATAGTAGAAATGAATGCTGAAAGCCATCCTATAGAGTAAGAAAGGAATTAAAAATTAGCATCAATAAATGGGGAAGTGATGTCTAAAAATTACTGGAGGTGAGGGATAAAGAAAATAGACATACAGAGGTGAGTCTAAACCAATGATAAGATGTATCAAAATTGCCTGGAGAGTTTGTTAAAACACAGACTTTAGAAATGGGCCCCACCTACAGAGTTTCAGATTTAGTAGGTTGGGGAGGGCGGAGGTGGCTGAGATTTTGCATTTTTAATAACTTGCCAGAGATGCTGGTGCTGCTGGTCTGGGGAGCACTTTGAGAAACACTGATTTAAATCATTGTTGAAGTAAATTTAAAAAGTATTTAAAAATGTTTCTGAGATATTTCTTTAATATGAAGATAATGTTTATATACACATATACATATGTTGGAAAGTGCATATCACCATCATTATGTGGACAGTGATTCATTCAGCATTGTTGGTTTAAGAGTAAGCTTAACGTTTTTCCAAATAATTTTTCTATTTTCCGGAATTAACTTTATTTTGTTGTAATGAATTTTCATTACTGGGGTAAGGCCAAGTAGAGTCCTACTAATCCTGATCCTCTCACAGAAAACAGTTATAAACTCTGGACAAAATCACACACACACACAACCAATGACCTGGTCTCCGGGTCATGAGGTACTGGAGAGTGAACAAAAGCAGATTATGGGAATGTGTTGAAATTGGGGAGAAGGGAATGTAGGAGGTTAGATCACAGCTTTTAGCCTGAGGACATGCTGAAGTTGGTATGGCAGAGGGGTGGGTAATTTGATAGAAAGCAGGGAAGTCTTTTTGAGATAAGAAACCACATGACTGAGTTCAGGGCAACCAGAGCCACTTGGAAAGTGAGAGGAGAATCCCAGAGAAGAGAGACTCACAGAGGGGGTAATCCAAATTCTGTGAATAAATTCTGCCCAAATATCTGACTTACTCCTGTACCATGCATATTTGGCACAGACTCCTAACACTTCCCTTAAAGACAAGAGAACTGAGTAATATATCTACTTATCTATTACATTAAATTGATTCCTGTAACTTTATACTAAGTTTTGAAGTCGGTAAAGAGAGTAAGCCCTCCCACTTCCTTTCTCTTTTTTAAAGTTGTTTTGGCATGTATTAAATTTTGAGAGTATTGCCAAATGTCTGCCACCCATCTACATGTATGTGTGAATAATTCCATACGTGATTTCTTCATTCTGGATATTATCAATTTAAAATTAAAAAGTTTGCTGACCCCTGATCCAATTTAATGCTAAGGGAGAAACCACTATTATCCCTCCTACACAGAAAAGGAATCTGAGTCACCAAAAGATCACGTAACTGTTAGTGGTGCAGCCAAGATGTAAACTCCCAAAGTCTAACCCTTCGCTTGTGCTCCTAGACACTACACTACACCTCAATGTTTAATTTACATATCTTTAATTATTATTGAGGTACTTGTCCTTTTTTCCATTGGATTTTTGATCTGTGTCTTTATAATTGTCTGAAGACATGTTTCTTCAGAAATAATTCAGTCTTTGACTTGCTTAAATTCTCTTATATGTTGGGGCACCTGGGTGGCTCAGTGTGTTGGGGCTCTGCCTTCAGTTTGGGTCATTATCTCAGGGTCCTGGGATAGAGCTCCGCCTTGGGCTTTCTGCTCAGCAGGGAGCCTGCTTCCCCCTCTCTCTCTGCCTGCTGCTCTGCCTACTTGTGATCTCTCTCTCTCTCTGTCAAATAGATAAATAAAATCTTTTAAAAATTCCCTTATAGGGCGCCTGGGTGGCTCAGTGGGTTAAAGCCTCTGCCTTCGGCTCAGGTCATGATCTCAGGGTCCTGGGATCGAGGCCCGCATCGGGCTCTCCGCTCAGCGGGGAGCCTGCTTTCTCCTCTCTCTCTCTATGCCTGCTTCTCTGCATACTTGTGATCTCTCTCTCTCTCTGTTTCAAATAAATAAATAAAATCTTTAAAAAAAATTCCCTTATATGTTAAAAATATCAGCTTGTAACCTGAATTCTCATCTTTCTCTCCCTTAAGCTTCTTGAGAACTGGTATTACCTTGGTGCTTCTACTTCCTCAGTTCACATTTATACTTCAGTACAATTCGGTAGGGCTCTGTCTTCATCATTACTGTGAAACAATTTCTAAAAAGACCACCTTGCTATTATTAAATCCAGGGACATTTTTTGTTCTTATCCTGATGGATTTTTGGTTGCATCTGACATTTGACGCTTCCCTCTTCCTTTCTTTTTTTTTTTTTTTTAAAGATTTTATTTATTTATTTGACATACAGAGATCACAAGTAGACAGAGAGGCAGGCAGAGAGAGAGAGAGGAGGAAGCAGGCTCCTTGCCGAGCAGAGAGCCCAATGCGGGGCTCGATCCCAGCACCCCGAGATCATGACCTGAGCTGAAGGCAGAGGTATTAACCCACTGAGCCACCCAGGCGCCCCTCCCTCTTCCTTTCTGACACCATTCTTCTTGATCTTCTGCTCCCTCCCTCTCTCCTCTGTTCCCATCATGAGTTCCCCTTTCCTTTATCCCTCACCAGTTAAAATTTTCCAGCGCCCCACCCTACGTGTCTTGTTTTTTCCATTGTATGTGTTTTCCCTGATCGATTGCACCTCTTTTCTCTAATAATCTATAAGAACCACCAGTTTTAGATGCATTTTTGAGTATATTTGATTGACTGAAAGCAATATTTGTATTATAAATTGGTATCAAAGTAAGTAGCTATCACACATTTGCACACATCTGCTGCTCCTACGATTCTGCACATTTTTTAAAAAGATTTTATTTATTTATTTGACAGACAAAGGTCATAAGTAGTCAGAGAGGCAGGCAGAGAGAGAGAGGAGGAAGCGGGTTCCCCATGGAGCAGAGAACCCGATGTGGGGCTTGATCCCAGGACCCTGGGATCATGACCTGAGCCGAAGGCAGAGGCTTAACCCACTGAGCTACCCAGGCGCCCCTACACATTTTTTTTCTGACGTGCATCATGCCATTTCCATGGATTGTCTGACCATGTGTCCTCTTACCTTATAAGCCAGCTGAGAGTAGAGTGGAATATTGGACAGAACACCTACCCCCCAACACACACTTGATTAACCTGGAGTATTTGGACACTAAGAACTATTTTCATTGTTTGGGTAAGATGAAGCATCATAAGCTAATGAGAGTAACAGAAATTCACCAGAAAGTATTCTTAATGTGTATGTGTACAACTCTAAAGCAAGAAAGTTCACTTACCTGGATTATGAAATAAAACATCTTTCATTATTTCATCTATGTATTTTGCTCTGTCTTGTGTATCTCAGTTCCTATCTCTAGGGTGATCACATGTCACAGATTGCCCAGGAGAGGTTTTGTGCCCCTTGTCTGGATATAGTTAGTAATTACACCTCTTTTCACTGTCAACACTGTTCTGGGTTGGATGACAAATTATATTGATATCTTTGTCTCTTTACCAACAGGAATTAATTGATATTCAAAAGACATTCATTGAGGTGTAGTGTAGTGTCTAGGAGCACAAGCTCTGGGTTAGACTTTGGGAATTTACATCTTGGCTGCACGACTGACAGTTACGTGACCTCTTGGTGACTCAGATTCCTTTTCTGTGTAGGAGGGATAATAGTGGTTTCTCCCTTAGCATTAAATTGGACCAGGGGTCAGCAAACATTTTTCTGTAAAGGAATAGATAGTAAATATTTCAGACTTGGTGGACCATATGGTTTTTATCACAACTACTCAACTCTGCCATTATAGCACAAAAGCAACCATAGACACCCTGTAAATGAATAAGCATGAATGTGATCCAATAAAACTTTATTTATCAACACAGACAGCAGGCCAGATTTGCCTCAGGGCTGTAGATTGCAGACCCCTGACTTAGATTATACGTGTAAAAGAACTATTAATTTGGGGCCTCACAAAGCATAAGACTCCCCTGATTTTTGGCATGGAATTTTGGCATGGAATTTCCCCCCAAGATAGGCATGCATGGGAATTCTTAAGAGAGGGAAGCACCTGAACAAAGATGTAGAGTTGGGACTAGTCTGCTATCAGGTATGTGAGAAGTGGTATGTATTTGCTGTTCTCCTGTTGAGACTTTCCTTCTTCACCTCGTTTTCCTGACAAACTCCTGCTCCCCTTCCAAGACTCGGGTGTTAAAATCATGTTCTTAGCCTCTGTGAGAACCCCTTCCCACACCCCCACCACTACCACCCAGTCCCTGACCAAGTTAGTTACATCTTACTGTGCCCCATAGTGCCAGCCATGCCTCTGTCAGGTCACTGAACCCACTACATTGTCACTCTCACACTCTGAGCTCCTACCTTACATTACCAACCGTGATAATAATAAATGTGTGTAAGTGAAGGAAGGAATGAGCTTTACATTATGGCAGAAGACTCAGTAGACATGAATATGTATTAAACAAAAAAAGGGAAACTAGGCTGATTCTGACAGTCTTGCCCTGAGTAGCTGTCAGACCCCAGGGAAGAAAAGACACAAACACCGAAAATCCAGGCAGTGATGACAGTGATAGAGGAAGACAT